CGCACTAACAAAGGACTCTTAGAGTGATTCAGCAAGTGATTCAGCTTTATTGGAAGTAACGAACAAACACTCAACTCAGTAAGAAACCAGAACAACAAACTGTGGGAGCTATGCTCCTTTTAAACATAACCGGGCTAATGTAGCCACGCCTATTTACAAATAACAACCAATGAGATTGCTCAGTTAAGGACCAATGGGAGTCTTTCCCTCCCAGGGAATAGTACTGTTCTGATTGGTCGCTGTTACAAAGCGACCAATAGGAAGTTCGGTCAGAGGAGCCCTAGCTTGGCTCGAAGCTTAACATGGGAGTCTAATGAGGTGATTCATGTAATTGTTCCAATACATTACAAATACCACAAATAAATACATGTTTTATTATTTCATTTGTACAGAAATATTTCCTGACTCTCTCTATATTTTATTTGGATACCTGGTTCTGTATTGGTAAGACATTTGTCCAACATCATTTCTTTTTGTACTTTTACTTTGCTTAATTATAACTTTATTTGGCAAAAAAAATGTGCCAGCACAGGATACAAACACTTCTATTGTAAATGTGGTACAAAAATTATTATTCAGATTACCAACCAATAAACCCTTGAATGAATTTAGATGCACAAAGATAAGTGACTTAACCTAACCCATAATATTACAGATAATGTTTAAACAAATACTTTCAATTTAATGAGACATCTGGACAAACTTATTTAATTCACCCTGGTATCTAATTAGCTCTACTGAATGGACAATTACTACATTTCATGCTAAGAATCTTTTTTTTCTTTCATATTAATCCTTTTAAGATCCTCAAAGGAGGCCCAGATGAAAACAGAAAGAAGAAGCTTGTTAATTAACCTGGACCTCTGGAAACCCTCTTTCAAGGTTTCATGGATTGCTGCCAATACTCCATCCCTCCTCATATTAAAATCTTGGCTTTGTGCATGAATAATAAAATTAACAAATGTCTTATCTTCCATGACAGAATATCATGCTAATATCCCATGTTTGGGCGGGTGCTCAATCAACCCAAAATGACACCCAACAACAGAAGAAGAAGGTATGTAAGGGGATGGGAGAAAGAATGGGGAGAGGAGAGGGAAACAAAACCTATGGGGCATGCAAGGAGGGACAAGGAGAACCAACCAGAAACGGGGGGCGGGGGGCGCGGCGGCTAGGTGGTTGGGAAGGAAACTGGGGGGAGTGATGCAAAAAGCAAGGGGGAATGGTAAGGGAGCAAGAGGGGGTTACTGGGGAGAAAAGAATGGCTGGGGTATAGCAGGAAAGAGCACAGGGTGTTTATGAAGGGAAGCAGCTATGGAGCAGAGGGAGGGCAGCCAAGTAGATCCACAGAAAGAGGAGAGGAAGCAGAGAATAAAGTCCCTGCAAGTCCTTGTGGGTCCCTCACTTGTAGCAAACAAATAAAGAACATTAGCTGAAGTGTAAAAATGTTTACATTGCTTTAATCTTTGATAATTTTTGAATGACGAATCAAGTCTATGCTCACTGCCATTTATCTATGGAAGTCCACAATAAAAAATCAACTTAACATGTTGACGGACAATAAAGTCCATTTTAAAAAATGTTTAAATGACTCTATCCAATTCATATGCCATTATTCAAATTAGAATTAAACACATGTTCTGCACACCAAAAGAACAACAGATTTCCTTCTAAATATTTATTTAATGTTTTTAGGTAAAGGTAAAGGTTCCCTTGCTCGAAAGCCAGTCGAATCCGACTCTAGGGTTGCGGTGCTCATCTCCGTTTCAAAGCCGAAGAGCCAAAGCTGTCCGAAGACGTTTCCGTGGTCATGTGGCCGGCATGACTAAACACCAAGGCGCACGGAATGCTGTTTCCTTCCCACCAAAGTGGTACCTGTTTATCTACTTGCAATTTCTTGCTTTCGAACTGCTAGGTTGGCAAGAGCTGGAACTAGAGATGAGAGCTCACTCCATCATGTAGCACCCGGGTCTTGAACTGCTGAACTACCAACCTCCCACAGCCTGCAGTTCAGCGTCTTAACCACTTGAGCCACCACAGCTCCTTAATATTTTTAAAGAATTCCATATCCTTTGTTAGAAACTCTTGGGGAATCTTCCAGAAATCAAATCACAATTAAAACACTCAAGCGACAACAAAAAGCAACAGCATAAAATCAACTACTAGCAGCACAACCCTAGGCAGAACAACATTCTTCTAAATCCACTGAAGTCCAACGGACTTTAAAGGATGTAACCATGTTAAGGATTCCACTGTAAATGAAGAAACCAACCAGGTCTGATTCACCACTCCTCCACATTAAGCCAGCTGGGTGACCTCGGGTCAGTCACAGTTCTCTCAGAGCTCTGTTGTAGAAGAGGAAGGGAAGGCAATTGTAAGCCACTCTGAGACTCCTTCAGGTAGTGAAGAGCGGGATATAAAAACCAACTCTTCTTTGTATTTATTTAATAGAATTTACCTGAGCATACACCTGCAGACATGCATTTAAAAGCAACCTCAGGTTATGAACCTAGAGAAAGTGCAGCCCTATATCATTTAGGTAAATTTATTGCTCCTGTATACTGCTTTATTTCTGATGTTGCATGTTACTAGCATAAATAGCAAACACTCACCCCAGTAGACTTTGTGTTGGCTTCCAGTGCCTGCATGATGTGTCCTATCAAGACAGGCTTCTCTACTGGTGCTGTAGCTTATAAATCTGCATGTCAAATAAGATGAACATAACAAAACAGAAAGGAAATAAATATAAGGTTTGATAAAGGATAAGGATCACCAAACAGAATGATCGCTAGCAGTCTAGGTAGCACATGGGACCCACATAGGGTTGTATCCCACCCTCTGATCCACTAAATATGAAGACATCCTTTAGAGAAAGAGGCTCTTCCTCCAGAGGAAAACTTTGTACTTAGCCACATGCAGCTTTGTAAGATACAATCCATTATCTTGCCTTAAAAGCTTACTGTATGATTTCATGTAAGATAACCACATTACCATAGCCCATGATCATCTGTATATGCGAATGTGCTCATTGCAAATCTGCTTGTTACCAATGGACCAGTTTTTCCATTGCACATTCTTTACCCTGGAAAGTACCATATAAATAGTATGAGGGATTCATGTGGAGAACTATGCGGAGACCCTCCATGGAATGCAAGAGCTGGACATGGAAAATAACCTAATGACATCATCTTCTTGTAGCGTGAGAAGTCAATACATGTACAACAGTCCTTAGAGAGCCAAGAGTCTCTATTACGCAGCAGAGTGCACAAGGCTTACACGCAGCAGCTTCTTGGTACTGTATGTGGTAGTAAAGGTACAGAGTTACAGGGAGCCTGTTAAGTACGAGAGTCAACGCAGCTTTTCCAAAATAGTGATTCAGCTTTATTGAATAGGTGAAGAACGAACACAAACATATGGAGCAATAGCCTCCTTTTTAAACCAATCATTGAACAGAGATTAAAGACCAATCAACTATGTTCCCTCTAGAACCTTTCCTGTGTTGTGGTTGGGTGAGCTGTTTGTAGTACCCAATCAGAAAGTGTACTTGAGGATACTGGAGGGAGATAGAGCTTTTAGATCAAGCTCAACAGTATGTAATGCAATACACAACAGAGCCACTTGTCAGTTTCAAACTAATAAGAGTACTTTATTCAGGAAAGTACATTCTAGATAGAATAGGCTGAGAGATAGGGACAGAATCTAATCTAATTAACCATGATGGATAGAGATGAAGAAAGCATGTCTGGCATCCATGGTGCCAAAGATGAAGAGTGTGCTACTTCTTTGGGTGTGTGAGAGAGATGTGTTAAACTGGAAGGTAGTCTTGGCCTTAAGAATAGCATTTTACTTCAAAGGGATAGTATCAGATAACAGGAAGGAAAGGATGCTCTGTGTGTCCTGACCTCTCTATCTTTCTAAATCTATGGTTCTGACTCTCTGAAGTCTGAGGCAGGAGACAGTGTACACTCCTCCACTTCCAACAAATTTTTATCTAAAGAGCTTTCCTCGTAAAATGCTGCTGCAGGACTCAAAAATTATTAGGTATAGGATGGGATTGTATATGTATGTGGGTAGCACGTTACACATTTGTACCATGCCCAGAGAAATGATGCTTGTGCCTTATTCACAACATGTTTACATTGGTTTGGATCCACACGAATCATTTTCATGGCTATAAGGGCTTTCTCCCATGGAGTGCAATCTTCCTGCAATTTTATTTATGTATCCATCCCCCAATGGGGATTCAAAGTGGCTTACAACATTTTCCTCTCCTCCATTTTATCCTCACAATAACCCTGAGAGGTAGGTTAGTCTTGAGAGTATGTGACTGACCCAGGGTCACAGGGCAAGCTTCCATGGCAGACTGGAGATTCAAATGTGGGTCTCCCAGATCCTTGCTTAGCACTCCAACCACTGCTGTGGGGGGAGGGGAGCCTGGAAAATCAGGCTTTATGGGTGGAAGTCCTTGGGCCTGTGGAAATGTCAGCCTGGACCCCATCCATTGTGAAAACCAAGCAAATGGATGTCTACACAAGGAAACGACTGCATTTTTATCCCACTTTTCCTCCAAGGAGGTCTGAGTGGGATACATTATTTCCTCCCCGTTTTGATCCTCACAACCCTGTGAGGTAGGTTATGGCATGAGAGTGACCCAGTGAGCTTCATGGCCTTGCGCACTCGAACCCAGCTCTCCCCTGTCTCAGCCCAACACTCTTAACCGCTACACACCAGGGCAGCAATTTCTCTTTCATTCCTCTTCCCAAATGCCTGGAATTCACTTCGGACTGCAAAACACGCTGGGGCAGGCGGCTGTCACGCTGCTGGTCCCCATAACAAGGGCCTTATCTTTGAAAAAAACTTTCTGGAAAGGGCGAAGTATAAGAATCGGTTAAAGGACAAGAAAGGGGGAAAGAAAATGAAATATGGGGAAAGAGGGAGGGAGGGAGGGAGGGAGAGAGAAGGCGAGTGGGAGTGTAAGAGGAGGAAGCGGCATTACGCTGAGGCGCAGCCCAGGCCAGAGTGCTGCTGAAGGGAAGTTGGCGCTCCAGCCGCAGGCAGGGAGAAGAGCCCCGTCGCCGCGAGGCGCGCCCAGGGCCATGGAGAGACGCGCTGCCCAGCGTCGCGCGCCAAGGCCGCTGCTGCTCATGCTCTTTGCGGTCCTCGCCTGCGCCCCACCGCTGGCGCGCGCGCTGCCCTCCAAGGTGTCGCGCGGCGTCGCCGTCCCCTTTGTCTTCGACCCGCACGCCGTCTGCAGCCCGCCTTGCCAGCACGGGGGCCTGTGCATCAGGAACGCCACCTGCTTCTGCGCCAGGGGCTACGAAGGCGAGCTCTGCCAGCACGGTTGGTGACACCGAAAACGAGCCCCGCCGCTCCGTGCTCTCTGGCGCGCCACCACGGCGGCGGCGGCTGCTAGCGCCCTCCTACCTCTTTGCACCGACGCGCCTCCTGGGGCTCTCCAGGGGAATAGCCGTGATGAGGGGGGGGGGGCTCTTCGAGCGGGGAATGCGGGGGGAGAGATTGTGAAACCCATCGGCTAGACGTCCGTTGGAAGCAAATGCAGGCGCTTCGCAGGGTAGCTTCGCTCGCTGTGCACACTACACCGGGAAAGTGGGGCTGGCTTCCGAGTGTGAACACGTGTAGGATCGCCTTGCACATACGGGTTTAGGACTGCAGCCTTGTGCCGGGATCTCCTGCCTTGTTTACTCAAGAGCCCAACTGCTTTCTAGATGGGTAGTCCGTCCTGTTAATCTGGAGCAGGAACATAAAAACAGGATCATCCCAGTGGTACTTGGAGGGCTAACAAAATTTATTCCCGCGGAAGCTTTCGCCAGTCAGAATGCAGTAGCTGCCTAGTGGATGGACACCTCAGGCCTCTGATGAAGTGAATTGAGGGATGTTTATGCTGGAATAACGTTGGTTAGTCTTTAAACTGCCCCGGGACTCCTTGTTTGGTTTGGTTTTACTTGTACTTCCAAGTAAGGCTGGGTGAGATTGCCTTTCTGGCCTGAGGGGGAGATGGGGTAGGGTGGGGTGAGAGGTATAATCCATTTATTTGTCTTTTGTCAACTGTGCATAGTAATATTCTGCTACTCTCAGGCTAGCCAGTGGAGACACTGGGGGAAATGCTTGGGTGGGGGATCATAAAGGATAAAATACTATCAGCCCTGTGGGTTTTAAAAAAAACCTTTAGTCTGTTCCTTTGAAAGGAACTGATGTCCTGGCATTGGACTAGAAACTCTGTCTGACATGTTTGAAGGGTTAGGGATGCTTTTTATTTATTTCATTTATACTCCTCCTCCTTTCACCCCAATATGGGCTGCGGTGGCTCAGGTGGTTAAGAAGCTGAACTGCAGACCAGAACGTTGATAGTTCAGCAGTTCGAGACCTGAGTGCCGCAAGACAGAGTGAGCATGGGCATGGCTTCCTGTCCTGAAAAACACAAAATGCTCTACATCTGACAACAGCACTACAGATAAGATTAGAATTTCAACAGCCAATCCCAAGGGTGTAGACTTTCCAATTTCCCGGGGGGGGGGGCTGGGGCTGGGCCAGAGGCATTGCTTTGCTAGGAGCAAGGGTGGCTCCCGGGGGAGGCTGAGCAGCTTCCTGAAAATTTCGGCGGGGGCTGAAGCCCCGCCGCCCCCACGAAGATTACACCTATGGCCAATCCATATGCAAAAGAACCTCCTCAGGAAAGCTCCTCCATTAGCATGTCACAGCCTGGGAAATTCCTACAAGATAGTGACTCAGCCCTACCCCACCTTCCTGAGTAGATATAAATCACCTGCCTACCATTTTTCTTCTCACATTGACACAGAGAGTACTCCATCTTTCTGTGTTATACCTCTGAGGATGCCAGTCACAGCTGCTGGCAAAACGTCAGGCACTACAGTGCTAAGACCATGGCCATACGGCCCGGAAAATCTACAACAACTAATTATTTTTAAAAATTACATAACTGAGTTTGGAATAGTTAATTGGATATTTAGATCACCCTCGGTTACAGCACAGTGAGTAGTTAGCACGTAGGCACCTTGGAAACAAAAATAAATGGAATTGTTGGGAAGATCTCTGAAGATGTACTGGGGGGGACTCAAAAAGCACAGAAAAAATCCTGAAATAAGCAGGAGTAGACTGTTCAACATTTATTACAGTACATTTGTAATTTGAAGTTTTCATGGCTTTCCCACTTACTTCTTCCCATTTGTCATTTGTGAGCACTGATGCAAATACTCCTGGTTCACTTATGAGTTTTTTGAGGAATGGTTATTCTTTGTGTGATAAGCTATTAACTGTTTGCCATTCATTATTTTTTCTGCGCAGCTTATCTTTGTGTTTTCCCCCCATCTTCCATTTCAGATATTTCATTTGTTCATTCTGAGAGCAGAACTATCACTGCATGTTGTAGAGGGCTGCCAATAAATTTCCGGGTATCACCTGAATCCCAGTAATGAAAGTCCAGAGGAAACCTGCGAATGTCCTGTTGAAAATTGTTTGCAGATAGCAAATACATAGAAACCAGTCCAGGATTGGCTCATGAATGATTTATGAGCCAAGAGCCAACTAAACTTGTCAGATAATTTGTTTGCATGAAATAATCAGAGCAGCTGTACTCCAAAGTGTGCAATTTCCAGCTAGTTATGTGTGCCAGGCTTGTGCATTGTTTAGCTGTCAGTTGCGAAGAATCCCTTAGAATCCATGAAGAAGAATGTCTTCTCAGCAAGTTTTCATTGTAAGCCATGGGGATGAACACTAAGGAAACGTCGTTTCCTCTAGGACCATTTGTGAAGAAAAGTAAGAATATTAAGTCTGGGAAAAACTTTTGAAAGGAGCAAAATTAGAAAATTTTTGAGGACATATTCAGTCTTAATTGTGGAAAGATTTCCAGTTGTGTTGTGTGGTTCCATATGGCTTCCAACCGTAAATCAAAAGCCAGACTTAATGTGGGTATGTAGCTGCTGAAAATGTTGTTTATAACTGAGCAATCAGGAAGCCATACCTAGGCTGCTTATGGTGATGCACATCAAAGATCTGTACAGAATTTTCCTTCAGATTGGTGATGATATTGGATAGGTCTTCCAAAATACAACATATTGGAGCCTTTCATTATTATGGCTTGTTACAGAATACTGCAATTTGGGGATAATGAAAATACCACTGTTTCTTTTTCACATTTCCTATACCTATTTCCGTATTTTTATGACTGTCATGTTTGACCATTTATAGTCAAGTAAAGGTGTGAAACTGCTGATTGCTTAACCATGGTTAAAGGATCAGGACTGGGCCACAGATTTGCACACTCCCTTCTTCTCTCGTGCAGACTCCCCTCCCTTTTCTAGTGAGCATCAACTATATTGTTGTACTATTTCTGCACAAAGGTTAACCACGGTTACAATGATGTCTTTTAACTAGAGACTGAAACCAGGGCAAATCTCATTCCTGTAGCGGCTGCTCCTTTTATACAACTCTTTTGCTTCTCAGATGGCAACTGAAAGACCAGATATTATCCCTGAGAAATCTCATTTGGCTCAGTTGTCTCCCAAAGTATGGGATTTTAACCATTCCATTCTAAACAGAGTTTTTTATGTCTTTAGAAGGGTATAACTCTGCTTAGGATTGCTCTGGAAAGCTCCTTTCATTTTTTTGAGCATCATAGCTAATTCATACAACCCATTGTGGCAGTAGTTATCAAATGAGAAATGTGTCTACACTTGATAGTACCATATTTATGATAAGAAAAAGCCATTTCACAGACCAAATTAGCAGATTATATTTGTCCTTTTTATTATTTTATTATTTTTAAAGACAAAACAAACATGCAGTGGGGGATATTAATCTTATCAGTTCTTTCTTTTACAAACTCATGCCTAAATTGTAATACATTTATGAATTTCACCTTATATAATTAATAAAGTATCTTGCAAAAAAATAACAGCTCTGAAGCTCATTTGTCCTTAATAAGATTCCAATAATTATATTGTTCACTTGTAGTAGTCTTCTAACCAACTGTAAAACCTTGCCCAGGTATTTTCAAAAGTTGTTTCTGTTTGGCCTTTCAAAGTTAGGGTTAGTTTATCCATTTCGGCTGTTTCCAGGATTTTATTTAAAATTTCTTTTTTCAAGGGTGTTTCAGTTCTTTTCCAATATTTGGCATATAGTATTCTAGCAGTTGTAGTTATGTACAAAATGAGAAATGAATCATTTTTGTTACATCTCTCAGGTATAATATTTAACAAAAACATTTCAGAAACAAAGGGTACAGAACATTTCAGAATTTCTTGTAGTATTTCATGAATCCATGCCCAGGAGTTTTTTGCTTTATCACACAGCCACCACATATGATAAAAGGAACCAACCTTATTTTGACATTTCCAACAAGCATTTGAACATTTAGGGTCAAACTTAGCCAAGTTTTCAGGCATAATATACCATCTATAAAACATTTTATATACATTTTCTTTATATGAAATTGCTTTTGTAATTTTGATATTTCTTTTCCAAACCTGTGACCAGTGGTCTAGCTCAATAGTGACCCTTACTGAGGGTAAAGCATAACTTTTAGAAATTATCACCATCTGCTGTTTCCATGCACATTCACTGGTAGCTTTTTTTAAAATGAAAGGATTTTTAAGAGGCTACTCCCTACCCACAACTTTCTGATCCTATTTTCTTTATGACTTGTTTGGTTCATAGCAACTTGTTATCCCAAGTGTAAAAATGGAGGGAAGTGTCTCAGACCTGGAAAATGCAGGTGCCAGCCCGGCTACGGAGGAAGATACTGTCATAAAGGTGAGTTAATATTCAGCGGTTTGCAAATCAAGTGAAAAAATAATGGAAGGAAAACCTGAATATGATAGGTCTTTGCTTGCCAGAAGAAGAGGAGTAGTTGTTGGTTTTTATACCCCTAAGGAGTCTCAAAGCTACTTATAATTGCATAACCTTCCCCTCCCCACCAACAGGTACCTTGTGAGGTAGGTGGAGCTGAGAGAATTCTGAGAGAGTTGTGACTGGCCCAAGGTCACCCAGCAGGCTTCATGTGGAGGAGAAGTGGGGAATCAAACCTGGTTTTGCAGATTAGAGTCCACTACACTTAACCACTATACTGCCCTGGCTTTCAGTGTAGCACTTGTCTCACTTGAACTTGTCATCTTGGTAGCTTCCCTGTGCTTAGAGCACAATGTAGTTTGGATTGTGTTGACTAACTGGTAGTGTGTGAGTGGAGCCTGGCAGGGGTTTGTGTAAGGAAGGATAGGGTTATCCTGTGCACTAGCTTAGATGTGGACTCTCTGGGTCTATTTCAACTCTGATTGTACAAGCTATTCCCAGTGTTATGAAACACATCAACAGAGAAAGGGGGAATTGTAAGGCTGGTATTTAACTGCATGAATGGGTGGTGTTTGCTTGTAATATTTATCCTGTTTCCAATGGTGCTTATTTCTTAGGTATTTTTTTTTTCCTTTGCACCAGCCTTATAATAATAAGGATGTTTTACTAACTTGTCATTGTTGTTTAATCAGAAGTATATTATCTATATTTTGTTAAATTAACCCTATTTTTATGTAGGTGATGGGTTTTGTACCGATAATGATTTTAATTCAACAAAGATTTATTACAGTTAGGATGTTATTTAATTACTCTAAACGTTTTTGTCATCTTTTAAGCTAACGGCATCATGTTTTGTACTAAAGACCGGTGATTCCTTTCCTTGATCTTTATACTAAGCTAACATGACTGTGATTATAATCTTTTTTCTTTCTTTTTCTGCCTTTCTGTGTTGATTTTATACCTCAAACATTAAATTATGCATTAAAAACCCTCCTGGCTAGAGTGCTGCTCCCGGCATACTTCATCTGTGTTGTTGCTTTCCAGTAAGCTGTGAAGGAGGATGTCAAAATGGTGGGGAATGCATCTCTGCCAATGGGATGGTGAAGTGCATTTGTGCTTCGGGATGGACAGATTCAAGATGCCAAGAAGGTCAGTGCCATGCAGTTATCTCTCTTATCACATTTGTATCCCACTCTTCTTCCAAAGAGTTCAGTGTGGAATACATGGAGGTTTTTTCCTGTTTTATTGGGACAACAATCCTGTGATTGGCTCAGAATTATTTGACAAGTGTGATGGTTGAGCTGGATTTTGAATTTAAGATTCCTGTTCTAATTCAATATTCTCTCCACCATCTTTACACAGTATTGCTATCTTAAAGAGAGTTATACCCCTCTAAACCCATTGACTTTAATGGACTTGGAAGGATATAACTCTGCCTGGGATTGCACTGTGCTCCTTTTAAGCCTGAAAACAAGGGAAACAGTTTGCGTGTTTTCATCTGAAACAGTTTGCGTGTTTTGGGTGTAAGCATTTCTTCAGGCCAGATCTCCATAAATTATTCTTGTACAGAGTGATTAGCTTGTGTTGCGTCTTCAGCTCTCTTCCCTAAGCGGTTGTCTCTACAGAGGCAACTTGGCTACTCCTGACTGATTAATAAGGGGATCTTCAAGAACGGAAGCATGTCTGAGTGTGTGCAGCCATTCGGCTATAGTTCAACATCTTTGGTACATGGCAGTGGGCAGGGGTCATTTCGTAGAAAAAGAGCTAGGGGAACTCATTAGCATAACTCACTAGCATATGCCACACCACCTGACATCAGGGGCCCGGCGGTGGACCTGCAAGGCCAGCGGGAGTGCGAGGAAGCCCCGCCAAGGCCCTCCCTGGCCCCAGGCAGGCAGGGGTGGGGAGAGGCGGGGAGGAAGCAATTTATCCTCCCTCTTCTCCTGCCTCCTCCTGGCTGAATGAGGGCTGGAAGCGGGGCGGCCGGAAGCAGGGGGCGGGGCTTTGTCATGTGCCCCGCCCCCTGCACCTCACCCGGGGGAACTGCGTTCCCCCCCGAAATGTCCTCTGGCAGTGGGTATCATACCTATGTAAAAAGCCAATCGAAGTCAGTGATAGGGCAATGAACCCAGAAGACAAAGAACAGAAGGGCAATGAACTCAGCAGAAAAAGAACGGAAGTATTTGTTTTCTATCATGAATTTCATGGTGTTGATGGGTTAATACATTGTTAATTCATACATTATGTTTTCTAAGGCGAAAGGGCCAGGGAGCCCATAGTCTTTAAGCTATAGAACCATCTCTGTCAATGGCACTTAAGAGTAACTGCATTTGAAACTGAATTTGACACCTAACACTGCAGCTCTCAATCTGCTTGTTTTATGCTCTGCATAGATTTAGCTTCAATGAGGCCCGTGGGAAAAATTAAATTTTCATTTAAAGTTTTCTCATACTCTGCAACACCATTATAGTATATATAAAAATTCAGACAGATGACTTTGTTTTATCATTCTTCCCCCCCTCCCCCTGCAGCAATTTGCCCTCAAGGATGTCGTAATGGAGGCGCTTGTGTGGCTCCGGGAATCTGCAGCTGTGCAGCCGGCTGGGTTGGTGGGGCGTGTCATTTAGGTGAGATGCATTTCTTTTGAAAGAACATGAGAGCATTTTGATTGACATAACTAGAGCTAACCTGCCCAAGATGCAAAGGAAAGTCTTTGTATATGACATAAAACAGTTTATTCCCCAGGACTCACACTGACTATTAAGAATATTAAATACAATATGATCATGACTAAGGGTGGGAAGAATATCCCCCTCCCATATCCTAGCATGAATATCCATGATAAGTTGAATTTTGCTTTCGCAGGAACTGACAGGGATGTCCAAGAGCAGATAAGAGCTGGCCCCAATTTTGGACCTCCTGATGGCACCTGGTATTTTTGGCCACTGTGTGACAGAGTGTTGGACTGGATGGGCCATTGGCCTGATCCAACATTGGCTTCTCTTAGGTTCTTATGTTAACTCTTGTTCATGGGGGGTAGGTGAGACAGTCTTTATTGTTGTGTTTAGCTGGAGAGTATCCCACAGAATCCTTGGTCCAACTGTTGCCGTGCCTAAGGCAAAACAGGTCACTTATACCGGTATGTGTGTGAATAGTTGCCCAAGAGGCTGCCCTGCACATTTCCATTGTAAGATCTGGAAGTTCATTGCCTCCTTGAAAGCACCACTAGTCTCAAGGTTTTGTAAGACTGCCTCATAGAGACTAGGCAGTGCCAAATAGGAATATGCAGATAAGCCTCGTGGAGGACAATGTAGGACAGGAAGTACCTTCTGCCTATTGTTTTGGCTATAGAACAGGATGTTTTCACATGTAGAAATGGTTTAATCCAGATATGTCAAATATACGGCCCGTGGGCCAGGACTGGCCCGTCCAGGGCTCTTACTTGGGGAAACCAGTCCAAATATGGACTAGAAGGGCCTACATCAGGGTATTTTAGCCCCTGTTGAGGTCCGTCCCCCAAACGTGGATCCTCCCCAGGGTCTTCCCCCAGATCTCCAGGGATCACTCAAACTAGAATGGGCAACCATAAGGGGCGAGGAGGGCTGGTTTGGCCCTGAGCTCTGTGCAGCCAGCCCCTTTGGTACCTGCCTGCTGCCCTTGGCTGAGGTGCTGGGCCAGGATGCACTGCCTGTTGCTGCTTCCTCCTCTGGCCAGAGTGCATTGGGCTCCTGCATCTGCCACATGGGCTGCTGGAAAGATGGCTGGCTGTTCTCATGTGGCAGGCAGTATCTCTTTGGCCCCCCTCTCTGAGCCCAGCCGAGTGGCTTTCCACTTGCAGGTGGCCTGGGGAAGGCACCTGTGGGCACTGACACCTGTGGAAAGCCACTGGCTGGCTTGCCAAATGTGCCTGCTCATGTGCACAGCAGCCCAGACAATAGAGAAAACCCTGGCACTTATGGAAGGGGTGCCATGCATGCAGAACACTGAGGGTCAGTGGCAGAGGAGGACCACCAAGTTGCATGAGTCAGAGCTTTCTAACCCACTGACCCAAATGTGCATGGCTTCTCTTCTCTCTCCCTCCCTCGGTAGTGCAGGGAGGATTAAATAAGAGGCAAAGCTGAAACACATATGTGTTCCTTGGGCTCTCTGCACGCAAGCACTGCCTTACGTAGCAGTCTGAATGGAAGCGGGGGGAGGGGATGCAAAGGTCAGGGACTGGAGGAGGCATTCAGAAGAGCATGCTGGGCTTGCACACAGCAGAGGCAGGCGCTGGATGTGCATCTGTGCACCTCCATATGGGGAGTAATATTTTGTGTGGTTGGATAATGCCGTGGAGTTGGCAGGAAATAAAAGTCTGCAAAAGGCAATTAAAGTGGAGCCAGCATCCTTGGAGAGTGGCAGCGCTTGAAGATTGCTTGTGGTGCTGGCGAGCATCACAGTTTCCCTTGTGGTTCAAGCTTGTTGCTGAATGTGGGACTTTGACAGATGGAGGTATGGGATTGCTTGGCTGCCTCACCCCCCTCCCCTCCCCAAAGCCTGTTGACTGCAGCAGTTTCTTTAAGGCAGGGCTTTTTGGGTTCCCCTGGTTGATGCTCTTTGGCTACCTGTGGCAATGGAATACAGCCCTTCATGCTCCAGCTCAGCAAAAGCTTTTGAAATGTATTAGTCTTTAAATAGCCATGATAATCTCTGGTTGTTGCACCTTGATTGTCAGGCAATAGCTCTCTGTGCTATGCAAAACTTCTTGATTAGTTAGGTTGGTTAGTTAGGTTTTGAGGAGGGGTGTGGTAAAATATCTCCGGTACCTGGCATTATATTTTATGACACATGTCCCGGCCGGACAAAGTGACATTTTGTATCAGATCCAGCCCTCATAACAAATTGACACCTCTGGTTTAATCACTTGAAGTCCAGGATAGCTCTGGTGCTGCCATTCTGCTTGGGAATAGTAAAGAAATGTGAGAATAGAGAATTCTGGAAATGGGTATTAGACTACTGCTTGACATCCAGGAGCTACTAAATATCGCCAGGCTCTTCCAACGTTTCTCCAAATTTCCTGTGAATTTGACATCCCTCAGCTTGTGTTACAAACTTTGGAATTCTAGTGCATACCCTTCTGAAACTGTGTGGGCTGTCCACGGCTCACAAGTAGAGGAGGTGCCCATCCTCCTGTCTTTCTGACTGCCGGCTGAATGCAGGAGGGCCATCCAACCACTGATCAAGGATCTCATCCTGGGTGATACAGTCTTTGGCCCAGAGTCCTTACTGCTTTTGCAGTTATGTCTTCTGTAATCCAGTATGTGGGCAGGAGGAACAGAGTAACTCTCCTTAGCTCCCAAATGGCTCATACTGTACCTTTTACTGCACCAACCACATTGAGGGTGTAGCAGGAAACTTCTGAGGTGCATTAGACTGTTTCTCAGGCAGAACATCATGAATTTTTTTAGTTCAACATGGCACCTGCTTTTGTAAGAAATACTTCAAGATGCTCACAATAATGACATTTTTTTCTCCAAGTATGGGACTTACAAAATTCAGACACTAACGACACATGTAACATATCATGGTTTCACAGTATTTTTTAATACTGAATTTGGGAAATCATTGTTATCATTTAACTTTGTATGATATTGGTTTAATAACATGAAAGCTGTACTATGCAACTGGTTTGTTTTATTCCAGCACTGTGTAGACTGCCTTGTCACCATGGAGGTAAATGTATTGCTCCAGATGTGTGCAGATGTCGTTCACCATACTCTGGTCTACAGTGTACCAAGAGAATAAAGGAATGAAACAGCCTTCTTGGAAGATGAATGCCATTATTTTAATGAATGAACATTGGTTAAAGGAGAATTTTTGCTTGATTGTAATTGATTCTTGATTTTAAAAAATCTGATTATATATCAAAGGGAAGCTTTCCTATATAAAAATACTAAAGACAATATCAAGCTAGCTGGATGTGTTTCAAAATATACGTGTGAAAGAGAATCTGGTTGTATGGTTTTCTATTGTCTCATGTTAGCACATTTATAATTGACTATCTTATTTTAATAAAGCATTTCCCCCCAAATACCCATTGTTTCTGTCTCACCATTTCTATTAATGGAATTTGCTGTCCTGCTCAGAGGTTAAGACACTGAGCTGCAGACCAGAAGGTCTGTAGTTCAGCAGTTCAAGACCTGAGCACCGCGTGACAGAGTGAGCTCCTGTCTCTAGTTCCAACTCCTGCCAACCTAGCAGTTCAAAAGCAAGAAATTGCAAGTAGATAAATAGGTACCGCTTCAGTGGGAAGGTAACGGCGTTCTGTGTACCTCGGCGTTTAGTCATGCAGGCCACATGACCACGGAAACGTCTTCGGACAGCACTGGGTCTTCGGCTTGGAAATGGAGATGAGCACCACCCTTTAGAGTCAGATTCGACTAGTTTTCAAGCAAGGGAAACATTTACCTTTATACTAAATATAATAAGGAAGTTGTTCCCTGAACACATTGATCCAGCAAGAGTTCTCTGGGCAGATGCAGGATTCCCCATGTGGAGCTGGTGGGATAATGATTTGTACATGCTATATACGGACATGTTTGATTTCTCTGCTTGAATATCCAGCACCTGGGATTGCACATGAATTTCCGTAGGGTGGATTGAGAATCTGGGAGCATACCATACGGCAGGTGTTTCTGCACCAGAAAGTACTTCCGATCATGCAACTGTACAGGTTTATCCTGTCTTGTTTATGATGTGTTCAGAAGCCAAGGCCTCTTATCTAAAGTAGCTGTGATATTTCCTCCAATGGTGGATTTAACTGATGGTTTCATTACCATCAAACGTCTGTGATGGGGGGAGGTATTTTTCTTTTCATTTTAATATTTGGGAAAAATAAATGGAAGAGCTTATCCTTTACATGCAGGTCCCAGCTTCTGTCCTTGGCATCTGCAGTTAAAGGACCTCAACCTGCAGGCTGCTAGGAAAGATCTTACTCTGCTTGAGAGCTTCAGTCAAAAGTAGGCAAAATTGAGCTAGATAAGGCAATTTCATATGCTTATATGAGAAACGCAATTCTCACAATGTAAACATTTTATATTTCATTCTAAAATTTCTGTTGTGCTAGAGCAAATATTAATTTCAGAGACCTCAAAAGTGCTGCAGCTTTGCTACCAGTGTTAGATTCTATCAAGGTCAGTGGGTTTCTCCTGTTAATAGTGTTTTTAAAAACATATGGCTTGAATACAGCACCATCTGCTGGATATTATGTTGGCCCTTTCCAGACTCCCTGAACATTGTTTATTTCCTGTGAATCTTTTTACTACTAAGTATTGCTTGCCTCACGTCTGATTCTATCAACTGCTGTGCCAAATCAGTAGCTGATAGGATCAAGGTAGCAAGGCTGTGTTCACACTGGTGTTTGGGGTCAGTTTTACCACAGAATCCGTGTCACAGTAACATTCATATTTGAAACAAGTCAATCCTGTGCTAATTAATTGAGGTGGTAAAACTCTCTTCCCTTCTTTTAAACATGTATTCAGAATTCTGCAAAATGCAAACATTTGTCCACAATGTGAATTCTGTAAACTTAAATATATGGAGTTGTACGCAAAGATTCCATTCCATTATTGATGGAGCATTTCTCCAGTGCAAGGAACCCATGGGAACAGTCCTTTCCCGCTAGAGATAGGCTTCTTGCTCTTGAGGAAGTTGGGTAGTAGAAGGGAACCTTTGGCTCAAGCTCACATATTTAAAGTGGTAGATGAAAATGAAGCCTAACAGTATGAAGTACCTTTAGCTGCTGCATTGGAAATGGTCACTGGGTGTCGAGGAGAAGTGGTAGTTTGCTTGTGTTTCCAAAATTATCTTCTGCTTCAGCTACTATAAAAGCTGTAAAGCTGTTACTACAAAGAAAAGGAATTGAAAAGGAATTGTGGCACAAGATTACACTGGGGGCCAGATGACTTCATACAATTTCCCATAATCCTCTTATGCAGAACAAGAGAAAGGGAAAGCAGCAGTGCCATCATGTTCATGTTGCTTGTGGATGGATGCATGTCATATACTGCCCTGGTATGGCATGAGATGACCAGTCCTCACTGGAGAAAGAGGAAGATAACTCACGCACAAACCCCACTTTGGCAGACCTTTCCTCTGAGACCAGGGTCTCAGGGCCTTCGTGAAGGGACCCTGAGCCAGCAGGATCCTCAGACCTGGAGACCCCAGTATGGACCTGCCTATGACTAGACCTGCCACGATCTCCCAGAGCACTCCAGGAGCAGAGCAGGCAAAGATGCGTGTGTGCCTGGCAGCTCACAGCCTCCCCTCTGCCAAGGGAATGCTAGAAGAGACTGGTAATTCACCACAGGCTATGGGCCCCAATACTCTTCATGGGTTGAGGAGCTGACTTGGCTTGTAGGGAACAGTCTAATGCAGGCACCAGCGGCACCTGCAGGGGAACTCCCTATATGAGGCTGCAGCCAGTTCTGCTGACTACTCCATCAGTTGCCTGACCCCAGGACTGCTTTTGACTCTGCCATTTGGAATAGATAACCTGGACTGCCTTCTGACGTTGCCTTTGATTGTGTTACTGGACCCTGGACTGTAAGTTTTGGACTGTGACCTGAGAGCCCCGTCAGACCCTGTGGTTACTGGGTCTTGCCTCTCACCTCGTGGCCAGGACAATGGGCTAACAGGTCTCAGTGCTTCACTTGTGCTTGGATTCTTAGTTCTTATCCCACGAGCTGAAAACTGAAAATAGTGGCTTGTGGGATCAGCCTTTAAGAGCTGAGAAATTCAACATTACTTCACGCTTCTGTAGCAAACCACGGGCCTGCTGTATTCTTGATATCCCTTAGGCATTTCTTTGCCGCAGATCTGTAGTGCTTTTATATTCATATCATAGCAACATAGCCTACGGCCTTCTACTTTTCAGCTTTCTACTTTGCAGCTTGTTGAACGTCAAGCTTGCCTCAAGTTTGCTCCAGTGGGATTTTCACGTTAAAGGCACCTGTTCACTTGATGCATGGAGACAACATCAAATTACAATGGAACTATAAAAAGAAAGTTATAAATGTAAATTCTGTCAACTGTTTGTGTCTTTTTAAAAATGTGTCTGGAAAACCAGACATACTTTACACACAAAAGTTTTAAACCAAGAGTAATTTATGAGGAGGAAAATGTTCAGCACCGTAGCTTGTGATGGAACAACTTTTAACAAACCTTTAAAACTGTTGAGGTACGTGATTTAGAATCTCATAACCCAAATGAAGGGAAGCTTTTGTGTAAATTTATTGTTGATAGTGCTCCGAGTGCAGTTTTCATCTATGAGAAAGTGCCTCTCCCTGGAAGAAGGCTGGGTCGGATTCTGTCTACACCAAGAGGGATGCCCACATCTGCTCAAGCCAGGCTGGCAGAGCAGAAGCTCCCACCCCCCATTTAACAGTCAAAAATGTTCTGAGAGCTGGACTTTGAGGTCGAAGTCTAGGAGACTGCCTCACAGGCTCACCCCAAACAGCTGTAGCTTTACATTTTAAATAACTAACAAACACCTAAAGAATCTTTATGACTCCGGAGACTAAAATCACATAAAGTGACAATAGTAACAGGATTGTCCAAGCAGTGATAAAACGGAACTTAGTGAGGGCAGCCTGTGACCCCATACAGATCCCCCTCATGTGCCTCTGAGTGCAGCCTAAGCCAAAACACTCAGGTGGGTGGACTTCTCTTGCCACCTTCAAAAATGGGAGCTTACTATCAGAATTTTCTTTCTCCCTAGATAACCAGAGGCGCTCTCTACTTCAGGGTGTAAAGGAGTAACATTCCCCAAGGTAAAGGTTTCCCTTGCTCGAAAGCCAGTCAAGTCCGGCTCTAGGGTTGCGGTGCTCCTCTCCGTTTCAAAGCTGAAGAGCCAGCACTGTCCGAAGACGTGGTCATGTGGCCGGCATGACTAAACACCAAGGCGCATGGAACGCTGTTACCTTCCCGCTGAAGTGGTACCTATTTATCTACTTGCAATTTCTTGCTTTCAAACTGCTAGGTGGGCAGGAGCTGGAACTAGAGACGGGAGCTCACTCCATCATGCGGCACACTCGGGTCTCAAACTGCTGAACTACCGACCTTCCACAGCCTGCAGTTCAGCATCTTAACCACTTGAGCCACCGCAGCTCCTAAATTCCCCAAAGCTAACCTTTATTGCTTATGCCTGCACTTCAGGGTGCCAGCACACTCTGAAACATCTTTCTCTCAAACAACCATGACCCCTGATGAAAAAGTACCATGAATGTGTGAACTAAGACCCATACACAGAGTCTATAGATTTCTTCCACAGAGACCTCCAAAAGCCTGCTTCCCTCAGTGAGTGATAACACCAGTGGGACCTTGCCTAACCCATTACTCTGCCACAGTGCTGTCCTTCCCATCAGCGCTCTGCAGGTAGTTCACTGGATATTTTATACTCGAACAGCAAAGGGATATCTTTGGATACTTAAATCCAGTGACTGGAGCTGTGAATGGGCAAGGCAGATCTTTCTACAAACCTGAAAAGGGCCCTAAGTTTGCGGGAAAATGTGACATGTAAAAATAAATGGAGAAGAGAAGCTGTTTTGGTATCCATTGTGGAGAAAGACTGTTGCTTTCCTAGATAGAGGATATGTTGGGTGGGAAGGAGATAGGGTCACCAACTCCAGGTTAGGAAATTCCTGGAGATTTGAGGAGGGGAGGGTGGGGTTTAAGGAGGGGAGGGATCTCAGCAGGTTATAATGCCATAGCCTCCACCCTCCAAAGCAGCCATTTCCTCCAGGGGAACTAGGTTTGCTAACCTCCAGGTGAGAGCTGGAGATCACCCAGAATTAAAACTGATCTCCAGATGACAGATATCAGTTCCCCTGAAGAAAATGGATGCTTCAGTGGGTGGCCTCTCTGTCCTTATACCCTGCTGGGGTTGCTTCCCTCCCCAAACCTCACTCTCCCCAGGCTCCACCTCCTGGAATTTCCCAACCTGACGCTCCAGGAGAACTGATCTTTGTAGTTGGGATATCAGTTGTGATTCCTAGAGAGCCACCGTCACTGTGGGGGGAGGGGAGGAAGCAGGTAGCCAACTAGGAGCATGGCCACCACTGCTGTGGGGAAGGGAGGAAGCAGGCGGGAGTCTGGGCGATGGGGGTAGGAAGGCAGAAAGAGAGAAAGTGACAGACATGGAGGAGGGAAAGAAAAGGGGTGGTAGGAGGAAGAAAGAGTGAGATTTTGAGAGAAGCAGGGGAAGGAGTGAGGAAGCAAAGGTGTGTGCGTGTGCGAGTGTGTGGGGGGAATGGGACAGCTGCTCTGGCAAGTTTCCTGTGGGTCCCCACTTGTAAACCGATATTTCTGCTCCTAGCAGTAAAATTTGTTTTTTCTAGATTTCACAAATGGCTGCCTTCTGACTCTGGAGGGACAGGCCCAAATGCCCTGAATGAAATGGATGTGTGTAAAAGAGATATCCACGATTCATTCTGTTGTGGAGGCCTGACTTTCAACAGGGTAAAAAATTGGAAACTTTAAAGAGAGAGAACACTAGTTCATTGAAGGTTTGGTATCCAAAACATTTCTCCATCAGAGAATGTGCCTGATTGGTCATTTTTAAAAAATTTCCCCTGCCTTGTCTCTGGGAAAGAATCCAATCAAGGACTTGGAGGGAGCCAAAGGGATGGCTGCCTGCCCAACAAACTAATGTGCTGGTGTGGATGGACCAGTCTTAAAGGGGGAACAAAAACCCTCTGCCAGGAATGATTTGTCTACAGTGCTGAGTTAGGTAAAGACAAGACAGAGTCTGACTTAGATGACAACGGGTTGCCCCCTCGACTGTCTGGTAAGAACAGTGAGGAGGGAGGCAGGGAGGGAGAGGCTGGGGCAGGCTGAGTTGATTGGATACAGCCCTGGCTGCCCTACTGAACCAGCCGCCACTGCTTTGGCTTCACCTCAAGCATTTTGAATAATAACTATTTGGAAAATCTTGCTCTCTATATATGCCTTAAAGATAGCTTTCCCTTATCGAATTTCATTGGCACGACAAATATCACGACTGTACTATGTACTTTTGGAATCTGGAACACGAATCAGATCTCTTCAGACCCATTGTCACGGTAGAGCCAGGGAGGCAGGCAGACAGGGGGAGTCACAATATAAGTCCAAAGGTCAGCCGGGAGAGTAGTCAGCAGAGCATTAAACAAGTCCCCGAACACCAGACAAAGCCGTAGTCAAACGTTACCAGAGGTCAGAATACAGGGAGCAAAGCCGAGGGTGTGGTCAGGTTCAAAGCTGGAGGTCGGGAGCCAGAGCAGTCCAAACACAAGCTGAGTCCAAAAGCCACAGAGTCAAACAGGAATCAAGGTGCAGAGCTTCTGGTTCTACGAACGAGGTTGCCAACACAAATTAATCATGGCCAAAGGCCCTACTAAATAGTGCTCTGGCCCATTAACTCATTAGCACCTTTGTGCGAGGTCCTGGCTGCTGTTAAAACTCAGGGCTCAAGGATCTCTGCCCTCTTGAACGTGCTTCTTTTCGTCGGCTAGCCAGCTCCTGACGTCTCTGATCCCTAAGCCTATTTACAGGTGGGGGAGATGCAGGTGGTGAGCTGCTTATGGCCTGCTCAATCCCAGGTGCAAACCGTCCTGTAGTTGACTCAGATTGCTGTGTATCCTCCTCAGTACTTACAGTAGGTGCAGATCCTGATGCTTCTTCAGCTCTTAAAGGCACTGAATCCTCCCCTCTTAGGCTGTCAGGAGCTGGCTCTGGGGCTGAGTCAAGGGCAGGCATGACACCCATTTACATGGAAGGAGGACCCTATAGACAGGGTGGGATAGGGACACCAAACTCCAAATGGGGGCGGGAATTCTTCTGAAATTGCAACTTATCTCCAGATTACAGAGATCAGTTTCTCTGGAGAAAATGGCAGCTTCACAGGGTGGACTCTGTGCCATCATGTGCCCGCTGAACTTCCTCCCCTCCCCAAACTCTACCCTCAAATCTCCAGGAATTTCCCAGACCCAAGTTGGCAGCCCTGGGTGGAAAGACTCATTAATATGAACAGATTATCAGTATACGTGGAATACTCCTCCACAAAGATGCAAAAGAGATACAGGCCACACTCCAACAATGAGCAGTACACGCTTAAGCCTAACTTAGTGGTGGAGCGGGTAGCCTGCACACGTCATGTTGAGTTCTCATGGGAGACGGTGCTATCAAAAATAATCTTAAAACAGCTGTTAATGGCTTAAATATGATTTCCTTCTCTCTTCATTAGCAAAGCCTTACTGTAATTAAAGGGTATAAATCTCATCCTAATTAAAGCATTGGAACAGGCTTATTACATAGGTTTTTAATACAGTATTAATACTGATTAATTTTAGTTATTGCTCAAAACGATCTCCAAAGATTGTTTGATATAGCTCTTGGAGCAGAGGTTACAACAGCTGCCAAGATGTGGAAGGAGCAGCAGTCAATCTTACCAAAGAGCCTTTCCAGATGATGAGTTTAGAACACAGCAAACACACAAGCACCACACACTCATACGCCTCCACGCTTCTACCAACAGCATTCGTCTTGCAAAGAGTCTGATACATAACACAGTTTTTAAAAAGCTCTTTAGAAGTACTGTTCCCCAGCTTTTATTTGTGTATGTCTGAATACAAGACTTGTCACCACAAGCTTTGATGCGGTCTCCACTGTGATATCTATTTGAAAAGTCTATGGAAATACTTGTTCAGATTTTTTAAACGGGCCAGACTGAGCCCATATGGACAACAGACTACAGAAAGCTGAAAATGACACATTATGCAGTCTACCTAGCAACGTGAGATACATAAACAAAGGTTTTCTAAAGCAGGAAATGAACTGCTAACAAAAACCAAGGTGCTGCAACACCTCTCTATTGCCTTGACTTCCAATCCTATCCTTTTGCAAAAGATGCTTCAGTAGCTGAGAGACTCCTTCACTGCAGCTGAAGTAGCTAATCCTGAGAAGTGCACAGAGGAAGCCAGTTTTTCTTAGCTTTCCTCCCTCTAAACTCCTATGGGACGCTGAACACTAAGGTATCTTCACTGGACTGATCTCTTCTGCTTGCTTAATCTTGAATTCTCAGACTCAGCAAAGATTCACTGCTTACATGTAAAGGATTGGATCATCCCTGTCTAGAGTAGATTTATGGTGCTGGAATGTTACATTTAAGTAAATGGATAACTGTTCCACAGTTTCCAATTTAGAAGATGGTTCTTGCCTGAAGGCTGGGATCTAATGCTTTTTTCAACTGTTACTGTAAACAGATGGCCGAAATGTATGGGCCAAGGCACCACATTCCATGGCTAACCTATCAGAGACACCTGCAAACGTACTAGGCAGGATCCCAAGGAATACAATTTACAGTGGTCTTTGTCTAATCCAGCCTTTGTGTGAGCTCTGTTGGAAATATAAACCTTCCATTGTAGCAAAAAATCCAGTCAAAAAATTAAAAGCTGTGGAAGGCTGAGGTAGCAAGAAAAACATATACAGACTCATAAAGGTATATTACGTTCTTGTGGTTTGTTTGTTTCTTAAACCATGCTGAGTATTTTAAAGCTGCACTTCTCATAATCAAGCCTCTGTTTCAACAAACTTGGGGAATCACCCAGTACCTCTTGGAGGCAGAGAGCGAGGTACAAAGAGGCTCCACAGAGGAACATGTCTTAGCTTGCTCATTACCCACCAGTCAGGTCTTGCATTGGGCGCATTGCTGCCATGGAGAGCACACTACAGCACACTCAGCCATTTACACTAACCTATGGCCTTCTCCCACTTCCTGCCCCTCTAGTAGCCCAATCCCACTGGACCCATGCAAGGACTTTGTTCCTCAGGGACCTAGGAAGCAGCAGGCCACTAGATTTTTACAAGTGAGTTGTGTGAGTGTGTGTGTGAGGAGTTCTGCTTAACATGAATAGATCGCAAGATTGAAGGATGCCCAGCGTAGCAGTGGTATTTCCCGTGCAGGGGCTAGCAAAGTGGGAAAAGGGAACAGCTCTAATAAACTCTTATGTGGAGCCTTTCTGTGTTTTGTCCTCTTGAAGAAGGGGCTGGATTGTGCCCTTTATGTAATGGTGCCTTGAGAGAACCTCTTTACATCCAAGAACCTGGTGGTCCATGAAGCATGATTATGTGATCCAGATACTGGTTCTTCAAGCGCGATGTCCTTGTACCTTGAAACAAAAGCAAAACAGCAGACCAATCAGAACACATTTTAATGATCCCCATATCCTTTAAAAGAACTATCTGCACTATAATTACCCTGATTTTTTTCCCACAGATGACTCCAGTGTAGCCAGGACGGCAAGAGCATACATTAGGCCGTATACATGTCCCTCCATATAGACATTTCCGGTTGCACACAGCTGAAACATACAAATGTGTGGGTGGTATATTGTTATTTTCTGTAAGGGAAAGATACCCAGGTTATTCTGCAATAATTCCTATACTTAGATGCCACAACCTGGGAATCCACAAAGGAACAGCAGCGCTTCTAGTGCAAGGAATTATCTGGTGGCTTGAGCTCAGATAGAAAGGTCTACTCTAGTTCAACTTCCAAAAGCCCCAAGATAAAGATACCTTTGTAGATAAAAGCAAAAATTCCAAGAGATGTGGCTATGCAAAGAACAATGCATACCAAACTGAGCCATTTGGATTCTTTTAAGCCTTGAATAAAACAAGTTTTAACCATAAAGAATCAGAGGGTGCCACTCTATTCTGAGTACCTAGAATTTGCCTTGACTAAAATAGGCAAAATATTCCAGAGTATTTCAGCTTTACCCCCTACTGATTTTATTGGTCATTTATAGGTTATTAGATTTCTCAATGAAGCTGAGAAGACAATCCTTGTACTTGTGTAAATGGTAGGTATCCCAGCATTAATGACGAAAGAGTTAAGAGTGCCTGATCTTGTAGGGGTTGCTATCACTCTTAACTTGCTTCAGTAACTTCTTTAAACTGTACCAGTAAAGACCAGTTCACAGTGTGTGTGTCTCCTGACGTAATGCCAGCCAGCAACAGTTGCTCCAGCAGAAATATTAAAATATCGAATAATCCAAACATTACATCTGACTCACGTGTCTGACAGTGAATTCCTTCCCATTCTGGTGGGCAATGGCAAGTACTCGGCCCAATACATTCCCCTCCATTCTTGCACTTCTGAAGGCATATAGCTGCATAAGACAAGACCGAAGACACAATGAAGGACACCTTGAATATCCCTGATTGCTCAAAATATGTGAAGCAACTGAAGAACTGAAAGAGGATGATCAAATTATACCATTTAAAATGCATTTGAAAAAATATATATGCCCTTGTTTAAACCACACCTCATCTATACATGGCTGCTCCTTAATGTAGGTACCATTGGTTGGCTGGGTTCTTACAAGAATGATGAACAGGGCAAGATTCATAGAGGGATCTGAAGTAAATTCTAATGCCCAGAGAAGTGTCTCTGCTTTGGGGGGAAAAATAGCACTTTGGCTACCCATGTCCCTTTGGCTACCCACGTCTTTGGGGCCAAGGTTATGGCTCCCAGCTAACTACATACGTTAACTACAGACCCCTTGAAATAATCCAGACTAAATTTTTGATAGGCATACTTATGGTCCCCTGCTGTGTTCCTAATACAGTTTTGCATCTAGAAATGGGTTTAATTTCTCTGGAAGCTCATGCATGGATACATAGGATCAATTACTGATTGAAGCTTGTTTTCTCTCCTGTGGGTCTTCCACCTCTAACACTAACAGACACCTTTCAGTCAACATGGAAAAGGTCCGTTTCAGAGAAATTACGATCCACTGAATATTCTCCTAATAGCCTTGGGTTACTCCACAGCTAAATCTGAAATCAAGCAAAGGATCTGGGATATTGAACTTCAATACCACTTAAGTTCTGCTGTAAAACACCATCACTTCAGGAACAAGAAATTGGTGTTGTCTAACTATTTAGCTAATTTATTGATTCTCAAATGCTGGATAGCTTTCACTCTGACCCACCTTAATGTTCTTTTATCTGCTTTATTAGAAGGATGATACTGTGGTGTGCCACTTCAGGAGCATTTATGCCCTTGCACTACTTGGGAAATAGAAACAGCTGGACATGTGCTGCTGCATTGATTGCCCTTCTATAACGACTTTAGATATATATCTATTACACCCATCCTCCAAAGAATCCCTGGAAGATTGCAGGAATGATGTATCTCTTTTCTTCTTGCAGACCTTGAATCTGAAGCCTTGGACAGAGTCACTAGATTCTGTGCATCACCAGAGTTTTGTGCATCACTGAGGTACAATGTTGATTTAGTGACATGCATTTGTTTTTTTAACTATATTTTAATGAAAGACTATGTATATTTTTATAACTATTCTGTAAATGTGTTTTCTTCTGCTGGTCTATGACTGTAATAAATTATTGATTGATTGACACTAAAGGGAAATGAATGTAAGAGAGATCTGTGACATCTAGTGCATTGCAAGAAGGCTTCTTCACAGGCACCTTCCAGTGGAGGACCATGTAGAACCCAGCTTTTGGCTTCCTATTTACACTGGCGCAGACTCTGACATCGTGGCACTGGATTACCTTAGCTATCAGGGAAAAGGAGAGATATCCAGTACAGACTCAATTTTGTGACTGCACTCCTTAAGTTTCATGCAACTGCAAACCTGTAGTTAAGAGAAGGAATTGATCCGGTATTTTTAAAGTATCACCATGCAAGGAAATAAATTCTCACAACTCATTAATGATGCATTCTCAGAAGTATGGGGCAGCCCTCTCTGCCAAATGGATTCCTGGAAGTGGCAATATAGCTTGGACCATGTGGGCCTTCTAGCACACATCCTCCAAGGCCAGTTTCCTCATCATCACCACCACCATTATTCAGTGACCAAAGCATAGTCTTCCTCACTGCCAAAAGTATTCTTCAGGGAAGGTGGGGTACTGGGGTCAGAGCATGCACACCACAAGCTCCTTTTAGGCCCCAGTCTGCCCTGTATAAGGACCAGGCTTTGTTACTTTCCTTCAGTCTCTCCAACTTTTGTCTGGCTGACAGCTCAAACCTACATTGTGACCGCTGCTACCAAGGAAAGTCTTCATTCCTTATTTATAGGGTTCTGGGGAGGGTATTTCAACACACTGATATTTCTGAAAGCCTCTTCTATTCTACTCCACACACACACACCGTTTGCTTTGTGTGTGGGTCTGATGAAGCCTCTTATGATTTCATTTATATCTGTAGAATAAAGTCTCTGGTTTTGGTGTCTTCCGAATCCGAATTTGTCTCAAGACAGTGGTGGCTTCTGCAAAGGACTCTTAAGGAGATAGGCTGCGCATATGAGATATTGAGCTGAACATTCAAACCTTGCATGCTTCAGAAATAAGGGGGAGTGGGAAGGAAACCTAAGTATGCTATTTTGCAACTGAAGGTATGACCCCCTTCCATCATTTAGACAGAAAAACCCTGAGGGTCACATTAAGCAGCAGAGAAAAAGATGCCCTCCAATTATAGCTGAATGTAAATTAAATGCTACTTATTGCTGTAGCTCAGCCCAAGTGCTTTTTACTGCAACAATTTAGCCACAGGCTTCATGTTTCGAGGTGCTGGTAGAAATACGTACGAGTGTTGCATCTTTTGCCCCTCCATCCTGAAGGGCAAGAACAAACATTTGGGCCCACGCATCTCCCTCCATTGATGCACACTGGGTCACAGATACCTGCAACCAAAGCACATTTAGAAATTACCTAATGTCAGGTATTAAATCTGACAGCATCTCTCAAGCATTTTAAATCAGCCTTACTTTTTTCACATCTCCTTCCAATGTAGCCATCAGGACAAGTGCAAACATTATTTCTCATACAATGACCACCATTCTTACAAGGAGGGTTACAGACAGCTAAAAGAGAAGAGAGACGAAAATTAAGTACAGGATCCAGTCTTGCACAGTACTGGAATATGTCATTTTCATTTCCTTCTGCCAGGTTTTGAGCCCTATGTAAGGACAGGGCAGATGGGGGTGTTTATGAATCAATTCTATCTTGCTTTCTATTGAAAAGAGGAACCCCAGGTAAAAGCTGGCATAGTAATTCTCCATCAGCAAGGTAGGTATTTATTTACTCTATTTATACCCCAAGTTTCTTCCCAATGGGGACCCAAAGCAACTTACAACATACTCCTCTCTTCCATTTTATCCTCACAACAACCCTGTGAGGTAGGTTACGCTGAGAGTATGTGACTGGCCAAGGGTGTCCAGCAAATTTCTATGGCAGAGTGTAGATTCAAACCTGGGTTTCCCATATCTTAGTTCAACAACTCTAACCACTAGACCAGCACTGCCTCTCAGAAGGATCTATAGGGATGGGAACAGACACATTGCTTTTAACCACACCTAATGGCCTTTTGCCCTGACCTGGATGGCCTAGGCTAGCTTGATCTCAGAAGCTAAGCAGGGTCGGCCCTGGCTAGTATTTGGAATACCAGGGTTGTGATGCAGAGGCAGGCAATGGCAAACCACCTCTGAACATCTCTTGCCTTGAAAACCCTCCAGGGTTGCCGTAAGTCAGCTGTGACTTGGGCAAAAAACCAGCCTTTTGATGGCACTAGAGCCTATTGGCTTCTGCACTTACATTCATCAATACATGCACTCCACAGTCATACACACACAGATGCATGCACTCATTTACAATGGCATGCTCCACTCTACAAACTAACAACATTTTTGGCAAGGTTTGCCATAAACAGTTTTAGAGACATTTCTCCTGTCATGTCTACCACAAGTAAGGATAAAGGACCAATCCTGCTAGCACAGAGCAGAACTGTTCAGAGCACCTTGGTAGGGGTTTTTTTTGTCTGATTATGAGTAGGTGTATCACTGGAACCAGGGCCTATAACAAAAAACAGTAATGTAATAGCTGCAGATGTCTCTTTAAATAGGAACTAATTCTTAGGATTTGTGTCTAGATAGCAATCTTATTCATAGACCTATCAGATCCTGGAGAGGGTAACCCATCCCAGCTGAACAAAGGGGGGGGGAGGGCAGATATGTAGCATATGTAGAAAAACAACCGGGGGGGGGGGCTGAGGGGAAGGGAGA